GAGATCCGGGCTATTAGCGGGAAGTTGCATGAACTGGACCCTAGAGTCACGCATCTTTTCTGAAGTCTAAAAGCAAATAATAATTGAATCAGTCCCCTTAACTAAATAAGTTTACTAACCTCTCGTGAAACATGACACAGAGCGTTATCCTGAAAAATGATAACTTTTCTAGACGATTTTTTCATGAAATTCTGGAAACATTTTCGTGATTACTGATGCAAATTTCCCACTATTCATGGTGCCTTTGGCTGATGTCCACCGACTAGGCTAAGAACTATTTTTCTGCTATGTTTTATCAGAATAATATGAATCAGGTCGTCCTCCTGTTTGGTTTACGGCCCCCACAAGCTTTTCTGGTTGTTGTTTTTCCATGGATTATCCTGTAAATTGTGCTTTTGTTAACGTTAAAGCAAGATTTGATATCGAAAATCCGAGCTTGTGTGCTCGTGTGATACTGTTTCTGTCCTCTTCACTGAGATAACGGGAACTTTTGGTTTCGAGCGCTGCTTGCTTCATTATAGTAACAACAATACGAACATTCAAAGCTGTGCACAAAAATGACCTTGATTTCAAGGTTGATTTTGATTGAAGTGGTATTTCTCGAATTCAGTGAGTTAGATATCAAACATAGATTATTATTATGAAACCTCATTTAATGCAATATCTCCGGGTTGTGAAAGAATTCTATTTGGTTATCCAATAGAGTTGCTATAATGGATTATATATGAGAAAAAATAATGCCCCATAACAAATAACCGAGATGGCAAGGGTTTATGAAAATAATTAGGGATAATTCTTGAGTCATTCCTATTAGAATAGATTGCGCTGTCATACTTGATACAGTTTGCGGTTTTCATGTTGAGATCACTTCGTCTTGACACCCAAGGTCAGACACGTTTAATTGAGACTTATGCAGCCAAGAAACTACGTAGTACTACGAAGTAGACAAGATATAAATTATTGCACATACCTAAAGCATTAATACAGGTGATCAATACAATGAAACTTCATTTGATTATAAAGAAAATATTTTAGTGCATCACAGTCGGCCAGTACTGTATTTATATCGTTGTAACCATTAGTTCTAACGATTACATCAGCATCAAGCAATCTCTTGCTGTGACGGGGAGGTAGCAGAACAATTCCTACTTGTTTGCTGCACGTAGTTTTGACCCTTCATGGTAGAGATTCGGAACATGAAAACGCAGTCACCCTATTGCCTTCCCTTCATTTTCATTTCGTGTAATTGGTCCAGGTAGCCCAAATCAGACCGATAGTCGGATCAATAAAGACAGTTGTTCTTCACTTCAGTGCATGTTTTTACATTGTAATGGACATAATCAAGAGTCGATGATTATTATTATTAAACTTGAACAATGGCTCGCACCGGAGTAGGTAATTAGAAATCGATATAGATACAGTAGGTAAGGTGCATGGACGCTGGTCGAGTCAAAGTCAAAGTTTTATTATGGGCATTATTTACAAGCAGTGCTTTCCTTGTCCCATAAGGTGTTTACACGAATGGAACTGTAACAATGATGGATAAAATTCCATATGCTGTATTCGGTTGCGTTGTGTGTGCTCATGGATGTTGGAATGTAATGTGTGTTAATGATTCGTCAAACGACGGTCGTTGCGGTATGCTCGGACACATGTATCTGTATCTCTTGTCAATAAAGAATCAATGTCGAGAGGAAAACCGAAAACGGTTCGGTTTCTTTCGTACTATTAGAAGCCACTGGAAAAGTATCAGTAATCTGGCCATTCCACATATAGCTCTTGTTTTGTTCCGTTGAAAATCAAGCAGAATATAGTTATATTAGGTATTTTTATTAACATTATAACTATTATTATGGTTGTTACTATTGGTTACTAGTTATTTAAATAACTCTTTTAAACGACGACTCCTATTCGTTTAACGTGTTTGATTGACCAATACTGGCTCAGGTTCACCCACACGGAACATTGCATCACTAACAGAGGAATGTAAATTCAAAACGATCGGGGTTTTTAATGCTGGTCAAAAAGTTCACTTATCCACTTGATCTCCTCGTAGGATGCATTATCTTTATTTTGCAATATAGTACAGCACAAACTGATTGTTTTTATTCATGCGAACACGAAGATTGATTAATTGTGCCCGTTTGCATATATCAGCCAATCAGATCCAAATTACGTTCCATGCAACAAGAAGAGGAGGATAGCATGGACAATGATCGATCCTACTTCGTCACGGAAGATCATTCGGTACACAGCTCAAATAATTCCTCCCATCGGGATACGCATCCCACGCATTTCAATCACACTCCTCCCTCCAATCCCACGAATTCTTTGCATTTACGCTGGCCGGGAACAGAGCAGTCACCTCCCGGCGGATCAGAGCTTATAAAACCCGATTTTGTCATCCCAGGTTAGTTTATTCTCCGTCAATTTTCCGTTTTTCTTTCCGTGACTGTTCTGCCTCGAATGCTGTTCTGTGCATTGGTTCACGTAGACCTGTGAACTGTGTGCACCTTTTCATTTATTTTTTTGATGTTGCAACTCTGCCCATATCTTCGAAAGATTTTCAGGGTTCATGTCGTATTCAATTCATTTGAATCGAATTTCACGAATGACTATGCATTCGAGTCTGTCAAACATCGCATTCTCAAACAATCACGAACCACACACACCACCCTGGTNCCCTGGTTGCGGCTGTGGTCACTGGTTCGACTAGGTAACGGGATGTGTTGAACACATTAGACATCTGACCCCGTCCAATCCGATCAACTGGACACCGCCCCCATGAATTACGGTTTTCTCACAAGGCCCTTACTGCTTTACGGGTCAGGTTTTGGTTAGTCTTTCAACTCCGGTTGTGAATTCATCTGCTTTGGCCTGGACAACCTGGCAGTATTCCACCTATTAGCAAACCACAGACTTTTTTTTATTTGTCATAACAAATAGTTCGACTGTGATTTGATTGGTGCACAATATGAATTCAGATGGGTGTGAACGATAACAATATAGTAAATACCATTTATAGACAGAAATTCCGAATTTAATGCATTGATTTTCATTGTTACCTGGTTTTGTGGATTGCCCAAATGTTCAATACTTTGGAAACGTTGATAAAACCGAAATTTACACAGGGCTCTGTGACAAAAATCATTTTGCGTTTCGAGGAAGATTGCGTTGAATGGTTAACGTTTCATCTTTCCTGCTTATTCTTGTTCGTACTGATTAGTCCAGCATCGAAAATTTCCTTTCGCTTTGACGGTATGAAGAACAGGTAGAATCAGGTCGATACATACAGTCTATCATACGCTTAGGCTTGATTACGCCCCAAGATGTCCGTAAAGGGATGTGCAAAACATGCAAATTTAGCTCGCGTATCTGCCTGACCTGTGAAGGGGGTAACTAGAACTATAAAACACAACAATATACGAAGATATTTTGGACGGGGTCTAACGTCCGCGGGACTCAATGCATCTCGATACCCAATCGGGCTGGTGAGCACTGCTACAAAGAAGTTGTGGGTGAGTGTGGTTCGTACGCCTCTCCTTGGTTGGTTTGCACTCGAGCAAGTGATGGACCTCCATAGATTACTTTGTTTAAGGCATGTGATACACCTGTCACCAGATAGGTTGCCACGGGGAGAGATGTTTACCGAGGCAGGTAGCGGTTGGAAAAAGGTTAAGGGTGGTCAAACGAAGACCTGGTATGAGGGTATGAAAACCCTAACCAGGATACTAAGTCACAGATCCCCTTGGGTTCCCTGGTTGGGGACCCCGAGATGACAGCCACCGATGGTTAGAGACACTGAGTGATTTGACCGGGTGTCGCAAACAGTGGCGCTCCTGTATCTACTCATTCTTCTCTTAACACCAGTCTATATGGATTCTCCATGTTCCGCTTGAATCTGCTTTCAACATTCCAATCTTCATTCTGCTCTTTTATCCAAATGGGGCACCAAACGACAGGAACCAAAACCGGCGCATGCAAGTGCAGGATTAATGGTTGTAAAAACTGAACTGGTTGGCTTGGAATAAGGTTTTTTTTAGCTATTTCT